AGTCGACGGGTTCGAGTCCCCGGAGAGCAACAGGTTCCAGCCCCAAGGCACGACAGCAGGATCAAGCCCTTGAGCGGGTCCGAGTCCCTGCAGGCCAGTACACCGGGTTCGAGTCTCTGCCAAGCAACAACGGGTTCAAGTCCCTCAGTGGGTTCAAGTCCCTGACGCAGAGCTCGGGTTCAAGTCCTGACTTTGGAGGACGTGTGGTGCGCCTGGGATATCGACTGGTGAACTCTGTTGGACGTTGTGTGTTACTCGCGAGAGGAGCTGGAGGACCTCACGTGCAATCGGTGGTCACTGCGGCTTTGATCGTGGCTTGTGTGTTTACATTTACGGAGTTCGTCAGAAGTTGCCACCGGAGACCTCGGAAGCGGCCGCGACAAGGTCCGGGCAAGGCAGCAGGGCGCGGGTAACAGGAGGAGTGCTTTCTTGGTGGTCATACAGGGGCGAATCAACACGGTTGGCTTTCGTGTGAGTTTGCCTTCACGAGACTTCGCTTCAGCGGGCACGATCGGAGCCGCAGCAGCGAGACTTTATTTTGAGCAGTGCTGAGAGGTGGGATGACACGCCAGTCTGCGCGCACGAGCGCGCCAGCGAGTCCAGGTGTTACGACACGAAGTTCTGGGACGCCTGTGACGGACGCCGCGCTGCCCGAACGTAAGCGACGCCGCGTTGAAGAGCACACCCGAGTCGTAGTTGATGATGGTCAAGGCGGAGAAGAAGATGTTGAAGTAAGCACTTCGGTGATTACAGCGGATGAGGGTTACCAGCGCCTGCGTCGCACGCCCACAAGTGGTTCAAGTCCACAGCTGAGAGTGACGGGTTCGAGTCCCTGGACGGGTTCAAGTCCCCGGCTGACGGCAGTGGGTCAACTCGACGGGTTCGAGTCCCCGGAGAGCAACAGGTTCCAGCCCCAAGGCACGACAGCAGGATCAAGCCCTTGAGCGGGTCCGAGTCCCTGCAGGCCAGTACACCGGGTTCGAGTCTCTGCCAAGCAACAACGGGTTCAAGTCCCTCAGTGGGTTCAAGTCCCTGACGCAGAGCTCGGGTTCAAGTCCTGACTTTGGAGGACGTGTGGTGCGCCTGGGATATCGACTGGTGAACTCTGTTGGACGTTGTGTGTTACTCGCGAGAGGAGCTGGAGGACCTCACGTGCAATCGGTGGTCACTGCGGCTTTGATCGTGGCTTGTGTGTTTACATTTACGGAGTTCGTCAGAAGTTGCCACCGGAGACCTCGGAAGCGGCCGCGACAAGGTCCGGGCAAGGCAGCAGGGCGCGGGTAACAGGAGGAGTGCTTTCTTGGTGGTCATACAGGGGCGAATCAACACGGTTGGCTTTCGTGTGAGTTTGCCTTCACGAGACTTCGCTTCAGCGGGCACGATCGGAGCCGCAGCAGCGAGACTTTATTTTGAGCAGTGCTGAGAGGTGGGATGACACGCCAGTCTGCGCGCACGAGCGCGCCAGCGAGTCCAGGTGTTACGACACGAAGTTCTGGGACGCCTGTGACGGACGCCGCGCTGCCCGAACGTAAGCGACGCCGCGTTGAAGAGCACACCCGAGTCGTAGTTGATGATGGTCAAGGCGGAGAAGAAGATGTTGAAGTAAGCACTTCGGTGATTACAGCGGATGAGGGTTACCAGCGCCTGCGTCGCACGCCCACAAGTGGTTCAAGTCCACAGCTGAGAGTGACGGGTTCGAGTCCCTGGACGGGTTCAAGTCCCCGGCTGACGGCAGTGGGTCAACTCGACGGGTTCGAGTCCCCGGAGAGCAACAGGTTCCAGCCCCAAGGCACGACAGCAGGATCAAGCCCTTGAGCGGGTTCGAGTCCCTGCAGGCCAGTACACCGGGTTCGAGTCTCTGCCAAGCAACAACGGGTTCAAGTCCCTCCGTGGGTCCGAGTCTCTGCCAAGCAACAACGGGTTCAAGTCCCTCCGTGGGTCCGAGTCCCTGCAGAGCAGCGACGGGTTCAAGTCCCTCAGTGGGTTCAAGTCCCTGACGCAGAGCTCGGGTTCAAGTCCTGACTTTGGAGGACGTGTGGTGCGCCTGGGATATCGACTGGTGAACTCTGTTGGACGTTGTGTATTACTCGCGAGAGGAGCTGGAGGACCTCACGTGCAATCGGTGGTCACTGCGGCTTTGATCGTGGCTTGTGTGTTTACATTTACGGAGTTCGTCAGAAGTTGCCACCGGAGACCTCGGAAGCGGCCGCGACAAGGTCCGGGCAAGGCAGCAGGGCGCGGGTAACAGGAGGAGTGCTTTCTTGGTGGTCATACAGGGGCGAATCAACACGGTTGGCTTTCGTGTGAGTTTGCCTTCACGAGACTTCGCTTCAGCGGGCACGATCGGAGCCGCAGCAGCGAGACTTTATTTTGAGCAGTGCTGAGAGGTGGGATGACACGCCAGTCTGCGCGCACGAGCGCGCCAGCGAGTCCAGGTGTTACGACACGAAGTTCTGGGACGCCTGTGACGGACGCCGCGCTGCCCGAACGTAAGCGACGCCGCGTTGAAGAGCACACCCGAGTCGTAGTTGATGATGGTCAAGGCGGAGAAGAAGATGTTGAAGTAAGCACTTCGGTGATTACAGCGGATGAGGGTTACCAGCGCCTGCGTCGCACGCCCACAAGTGGTTCAAGTCCACAGCTGAGAGTGACGGGTTCGAGTCCCTGGACGGGTTCAAGTCCCCGGCTGACGGCAGTGGGTCAACTCGACGGGTTCGAGTCCCCGGAGAGCAACAGGTTCCAGCCCCAAGGCACGACAGCAGGATCAAGCCCTTGAGCGGGTCCGAGTCCCTGCAGGCCAGTACACCGGGTTCGAGTCTCTGCCAAGCAACAACGGGTTCAAGTCCCTCCGTGGGTCCGAGTCCCTGCAGAGCAGCGACGGGTTCAAGTCCCTCAGTGGGTTCAAGTCCCTGACGCAGAGCTCGGGTTCAAGTCCTGACTTTGGAGGACGTGTGGTGCGCCTGGGATATCGACTGGTGAACTCTGTTGGACGTTGTGTATTACTCGCGAGAGGAGCTGGAGGACCTCACGTGCAATCGGTGGTCACTGCGGCTTTGATCGTGGCTTGTGTGTTTACATTTACGGAGTTCGTCAGAAGTTGCCACCGGAGACCTCGGAAGCGGCCGCGACAAGGTCCGGGCAAGGCAGCAGGGCGCGGGTAACAGGAGGAGTGCTTTCTTGGTGGTCATACAGGGGCGAATCAACACGGTTGGCTTTCGTGTGAGTTTGCCTTCACGAGACTTCGCTTCAGCGGGCACGATCGGAGCCGCAGCAGCGAGACTTTATTTTGAGCAGTGCTGAGAGGTGGGATGACACGCCAGTCTGCGCGCACGAGCGCGCCAGCGAGTCCAGGTGTTACGACACGAAGTTCTGGGACGCCTGTGACGGACGCCGCGCTGCCCGAACGTAAGCGACGCCGCGTTGAAGAGCACACCCGAGTCGTAGTTGATGATGGTCAAGGCGGAGAAGAAGATGTTGAAGTAAGCACTTCGGTGATTACAGCGGATGAGGGTTACCAGCGCCTGCGTCGCACGCCCACAAGTGGTTCAAGTCCACAGCTGAGAGTGACGGGTTCGAGTCCCTGGACGGGTTCAAGTCCCCGGCTGACGGCAGTGGGTCAAGTCGACGGGTTCGAGTCCCCGGAGAGCAACAGGTTCCAGCCCCAAGGCACGACAGCAGGATCAAGCCCTTGAGCGGGTCCGAGTCCCTGCAGGCCAGTACACCGGGTTCGAGTCTCTGCCAAGCAACAACGGGTTCAAGTCCCTCAGTGGGTTCAAGTCCCTGACGCAGAGCTCGGGTTCAAGTCCTGACTTTGGAGGACGTGTGGTGCGCCTGGGATATCGACTGGTGAACTCTGTTGGACGTTGTGTGTTACTCGCGAGAGGAGCTGGAGGACCTCACGTGCAATCGGTGGTCACTGCGGCTTTGATCGTGGCTTGTGTGTTTACATTTACGGAGTTCGTCAGAAGTTGCCACCGGAGACCTCGGAAGCGGCCGCGACAAGGTCCGGGCAAGGCAGCAGGGCGCGGGTAACAGGAGGAGTGCTTTCTTGGTGGTCATACAGGGGCGAATCAACACGGTTGGCTTTCGTGTGAGTTTGCCTTCACGAGACTTCGCTTCAGCGGGCACGATCGGAGCCGCAGCAGCGAGACTTTATTTTGAGCAGTGCTGAGAGGTGGGATGACACGCCAGTCTGCGCGCACGAGCGCGCCAGCGAGTCCAGGTGTTACGACACGAAGTTCTGGGACGCCTGTGACGGACGCCGCGCTGCCCGAACGTAAGCGACGCCGCGTTGAAGAGCACACCCGAGTCGTAGTTGATGATGGTCAAGGCGGAGAAGAAGATGTTGAAGTAAGCACTTCGGTGATTACAGCGGATGAGGGTTACCAGCGCCTGCGTCGCACGCCCACAAGTGGTTCAAGTCCACAGCTGAGAGTGACGGGTTCGAGTCCCTGGACGGGTTCAAGTCCCCGGCTGACGGCAGTGGGTCAAGTCGACGGGTTCGAGTCCCCGGAGAGCAACAGGGTCCAGCCCCAAGGCACGACAGCAGGATCAAGCCCTTGAGCGGGTTCGAGTCCCTGCAGGCCAGTACACCGGGTTCGAGTCTCTGCCAAGCAACAACGGGTTCAAGTCCCTCCGTGGGTCCGAGTCTCTGCCAAGCAACAACGGGTTCAAGTCCCTCCGTGGGTCCGAGTCCCTGCAGAGCAGCGACGGGTTCAAGTCCCTCAGTGGGTTCAAGTCCCTGACGCAGAGCTCGGGTTCAAGTCCTGACTTTGGAGGACGTGTGGTCCGCCTGGGATATCGACTGGTGAACTCTGTTGGACGTTGTGTGTTACTCGCGAGAGGAGCTGGAGGACCTCACGTGCAATCGGTGGTCACTGCGGCTTTGATCGTGGCTTGTGTGTTTACATTTACGGAGTTCGTCAGAAGTTGCCACCGGAGACCTCGGAAGCGGCCGCGACAAGGTCCGGGCAAGGCAGCAGGGCGCGGGTAACAGGAGGAGTGCTTTCTTGGTGGTCATACAGGGGCGAATCAACACGGTTGGCTTTCGTGTGAGTTTGCCTTCACGAGACTTCGCTTCAGCGGGCACGATCGGAGCCGCAGCAGCGAGACTTTATTTTGAGCAGTGCTGAGAGGTGGGATGACACGCCAGTCTGCGCGCACGAGCGCGCCAGCGAGTCCAGGTGTTACGACACGAAGTTCTGGGACGCCTGTGACGGACGCCGCGCTGCCCGAACGTAAGCGACGCCGCGTTGAAGAGCACACCCGAGTCGTAGTTGATGATGGTCAAGGCGGAGAAGAAGATGTTGAAGTAAGCACTTCGGTGATTACAGCGGATGAGGGTTACCAGCGCCTGCGTCGCACGCCCACAAGTGGTTCAAGTCCACAGCTGAGAGTGACGGGTTCGAGTCCCTGGACGGGTTCAAGTCCCCGGCTGACGGCAGTGGGTCAACTCGACGGGTTCGAGTCCCCGGAGAGCAACAGGTTCCAGCCCCAAGGCACGACAGCAGGATCAAGCCCTTGAGCGGGTCCGAGTCCCTGCAGGCCAGTACACCGGGTTCGAGTCTCTGCCAAGCAACAACGGGTTCAAGTCCCTCCGTGGGTCCGAGTCCCTGCAGAGCAGCGACGGGTTCAAGTCCCTCAGTGGGTTCAAGTCCCTGACGCAGAGCTCGGGTTCAAGTCCTGACTTTGGAGGACGTGTGGTGCGCCTGGGATATCGACTGGTGAACTCTGTTGGACGTTGTGTGTTACTCGCGAGAGGAGCTGGAGGACCTCACGTGCAATCGGTGGTCACTGCGGCTTTGATCGTGGCTTGTGTGTTTACATTTACGGAGTTCGTCAGAAGTTGCCACCGGAGACCTCGGAAGCGGCCGCGACAAGGTCCGGGCAAGGCAGCAGGGCGCGGGTAACAGGAGGAGTGCTTTCTTGGTGGTCATACAGGGGCGAATCAACACGGTTGGCTTTCGTGTGAGTTTGCCTTCACGAGACTTCGCTTCAGCGGGCACGATCGGAGCCGCAGCAGCGAGACTTTATTTTGAGCAGTGCTGAGAGGTGGGATGACACGCCAGTCTGCGCGCACGAGCGCGCCAGCGAGTCCAGGTGTTACGACACGAAGTTCTGGGACGCCTGTGACGGACGCCGCGCTGCCCGAACGTAAGCGACGCCGCGTTGAAGAGCACACCCGAGTCGTAGTTGATGATGGTCAAGGCGGAGAAGAAGATGTTGAAGTAAGCACTTCGGTGATTACAGCGGATGAGGGTTACCAGCGCCTGCGTCGCACGCCCACAAGTGGTTCAAGTCCACAGCTGAGAGTGACGGGTTCGAGTCCCTGGACGGGTTCAAGTCCCCGGCTGACGGCAGTGGGTCAAGTCGACGGGTTCGAGTCCCCGGAGAGCAACAGGTTCCAGCCCCAAGGCACGACAGCAGGATCAAGCCCTTGAGCGGGTTCGAGTCCCTGCAGGCCAGTACACCGGGTTCGAGTCTCTGCCAAGCAACAACGGGTTCAAGTCCCTCCGTGGGTCCGAGTCCCTGCAGAGCAGCGACGGGTTCAAGTCCCTCAGTGGGTTCAAGTCCCTGACGCAGAGCTCGGGTTCAAGTCCTGACTTTGGAGGACGTGTGGTGCGCCTGGGATATCGACTGGTGAACTCTGTTGGACGTTGTGTATTACTCGCGAGAGGAGCTGGAGGACCTCACGTGCAATCGGTGGTCACTGCGGCTTTGATCGTGGCTTGTGTGTTTACATTTACGGAGTTCGTCAGAAGTTGCCACCGGAGACCTCGGAAGCGGCCGCGACAAGGTCCGGGCAAGGCAGCAGGGCGCGGGTAACAGGAGGAGTGCTTTCTTGGTGGTCATACAGGGGCGAATCAACACGGTTGGCTTTCGTGTGAGTTTGCCTTCACGAGACTTCGCTTCAGCGGGCACGATCGGAGCCGCAGCAGCGAGACTTTATTTTGAGCAGTGCTGAGAGGTGGGATGACACGCCAGTCTGCGCGCACGAGCGCGCCAGCGAGTCCAGGTGTTACGACACGAAGTTCTGGGACGCCTGTGACGGACGCCGCGCTGCCCGAACGTAAGCGACGCCGCGTTGAAGAGCACACCCGAGTCGTAGTTGATGATGGTCAAGGCGGAGAAGAAGATGTTGAAGTAAGCACTTCGGTGATTACAGCGGATGAGGGTTACCAGCGCCTGCGTCGCACGCCCACAAGTGGTTCAAGTCCACAGCTGAGAGTGACGGGTTCGAGTCCCTGGACGGGTTCAAGTCCCCGGCTGACGGCAGTGGGTCAAGCCGACGGGTTCGAGTCCCCGGAGAGCAACAGGTTCCAGCCCCAAGGCACGACAGCAGGATCAAGCCCTTGAGCGGGTCCGAGTCCCTGCAGGCCAGTACACCGGGTTCGAGTCTCTGCCAAGCAACAACGGGTTCAAGTCCCTCAGTGGGTTCAAGTCCCTGACGCAGAGCTCGGGTTCAAGTCCTGACTTTGGAGGACGTGTGGTGCGCCTGGGATATCGACTGGTGAACTCTGTTGGACGTTGTGTGTTACTCGCGAGAGGAGCTGGAGGACCTCACGTGCAATCGGTGGTCACTGCGGCTTTGATCGTGGCTTGTGTGTTTACATTTACGGAGTTCGTCAGAAGTTGCCACCGGAGACCTCGGAAGCGGCCGCGACAAGGTCCGGGCAAGGCAGCAGGGCGCGGGTAACAGGAGGAGTGCTTTCTTGGTGGTCATACAGGGGCGAATCAACACGGTTGGCTTTCGTGTGAGTTTGCCTTCACGAGACTTCGCTTCAGCGGGCACGATCGGAGCCGCAGCAGCGAGACTTTATTTTGAGCAGTGCTGAGAGGTGGGATGACACGCCAGTCTGCGCGCACGAGCGCGCCAGCGAGTCCAGGTGTTACGACACGAAGTTCTGGGACGCCTGTGACGGACGCCGCGCTGCCCGAACGTAAGCGACGCCGCGTTGAAGAGCACACCCGAGTCGTAGTTGATGATGGTCAAGGCGGAGAAGAAGATGTTGAAGTAAGCACTTCGGTGATTACAGCGGATGAGGGTTACCAGCGCCTGCGTCGCACGCCCACAAGTGGTTCAAGTCCACAGCTGAGAGTGACGGGTTCGAGTCCCTGGACGGGTTCAAGTCCCCGGCTGACGGCAGTGGGTCAACTCGACGGGTTCGAGTCCCCGGAGAGCAACAGGTTCCAGCCCCAAGGCACGACAGCAGGATCAAGCCCTTGAGCGGGTCCGAGTCCCTGCAGGCCAGTACACCGGGTTCGAGTCTCTGCCAAGCAACAACGGGTTCAAGTCCCTCAGTGGGTTCAAGTCCCTGACGCAGAGCTCGGGTTCAAGTCCTGACTTTGGAGGACGTGTGGTGCGCCTGGGATATCGACTGGTGAACTCTGTTGGACGTTGTGTATTACTCGCGAGAGGAGCTGGAGGACCTCACGTGCAATCGGTGGTCACTGCGGCTTTGATCGTGGCTTGTGTGTTTACATTTACGGAGTTCGTCAGAAGTTGCCACCGGAGACCTCGGAAGCGGCCGCGACAAGGTCCGGGCAAGGCAGCAGGGCGCGGGTAACAGGAGGAGTGCTTTCTTGGTGGTCATACAGGGGCGAATCAACACGGTTGGCTTTCGTGTGAGTTTGCCTTCACGAGACTTCGCTTCAGCGGGCACGATCGGAGCCGCAGCAGCGAGACTTTATTTTGAGCAGTGCTGAGAGGTGGGATGACACGCCAGTCTGCGCGCACGAGCGCGCCAGCGAGTCCAGGTGTTACGACACGAAGTTCTGGGACGCCTGTGACGGACGCCGCGCTGCCCGAACGTAAGCGACGCCGCGTTGAAGAGCACACCCGAGTCGTAGTTGATGATGGTCAAGGCGGAGAAGAAGATGTTGAAGTAAGCACTTCGGTGATTACAGCGGATGAGGGTTACCAGCGCCTGCGTCGCACGCCCACAAGTGGTTCAAGTCCACAGCTGAGAGTGACGGGTTCGAGTCCCTGGACGGGTTCAAGTCCCCGGCTGACGGCAGTGGGTCAACTCGACGGGTTCGAGTCCCCGGAGAGCAACAGGTTCCAGCCCCAAGGCACGACAGCAGGATCAAGCCCTTGAGCGGGTTCGAGTCCCTGCAGGCCAGTACACCGGGTTCGAGTCTCTGCCAAGCAACAACGGGTTCAAGTCCCTCCGTGGGTCCGAGTCTCTGCCAAGCAACAACGGGTTCAAGTCCCTCCGTGGGTTCAAGTCCCTGACGCAGAGCTCGGGTTCAAGTCCTGACTTTGGAGGACGTGTGGTGCGCCTGGGATATCGACTGGTGAACTCTGTTGGACGTTGTGTATTACTCGCGAGAGGAGCTGGAGGACCTCACGTGCAATCGGTGGTCACTGCGGCTTTGATCGTGGCTTGTGTGTTTACATTTACGGAGTTCGTCAGAAGTTGCCACCGGAGACCTCGGAAGCGGCCGCGACAAGGTCCGGGCAAGGCAGCAGGGCGCGGGTAACAGGAGGAGTGCTTTCTTGGTGGTCATACAGGGGCGAATCAACACGGTTGGCTTTCGTGTGAGTTTGCCTTCACGAGACTTCGCTTCAGCGGGCACGATCGGAGCCGCAGCAGCGAGACTTTATTTTGAGCAGTGCTGAGAGGTGGGATGACACGCCAGTCTGCGCGCACGAGCGCGCCAGCGAGTCCAGGTGTTACGACACGAAGTTCTGGGACGCCTGTGACGGACGCCGCGCTGCCCGAACGTAAGCGACGCCGCGTTGAAGAGCACACCCGAGTCGTAGTTGATGATGGTCAAGGCGGAGAAGAAGATGTTGAAGTAAGCACTTCGGTGATTACAGCGGATGAGGGTTACCAGCGCCTGCGTCGCACGCCCACAAGTGGTTCAAGTCCACAGCTGAGAGTGACGGGTTCGAGTCCCTGGACGGGTTCAAGTCCCCGGCTGACGGCAGTGGGTCAACTCGACGGGTTCGAGTCCCCGGAGAGCAACAGGTTCCAGCCCCAAGGCACGACAGCAGGATCAAGCCCTTGAGCGGGTTCGAGTCCCTGCAGGCCAGTACACCGGGTTCGAGTCTCTGCCAAGCAACAACGGGTTCAAGTCCCTCCGTGGGTCCGAGTCCCTGCAGAGCAGCGACGGGTTCAAGTCCCTCAGTGGGTTCAAGTCCCTGACGCAGAGCTCGGGTTCAAGTCCTGACTTTGGAGGACGTGTGGTGCGCCTGGGATATCGACTGGTGAACTCTGTTGGACGTTGTGTGTTACTCGCGAGAGGAGCTGGAGGACCTCACGTGCAATCGGTGGTCACTGCGGCTTTGATCGTGGCTTGTGTGTTTACATTTACGGAGTTCGTCAGAAGTTGCCACCGGAGACCTCGGAAGCGGCCGCGACAAGGTCCGGGCAAGGCAGCAGGGCGCGGGTAACAGGAGGAGTGCTTTCTTGGTGGTCATACAGGGGCGAATCAACACGGTTGGCTTTCGTGTGAGTTTGCCTTCACGAGACTTCGCTTCAGCGGGCACGATCGGAGCCGCAGCAGCGAGACTTTATTTTGAGCAGTGCTGAGAGGTGGGATGACACGCCAGTCTGCGCGCACGAGCGCGCCAGCGAGTCCAGGTGTTACGACACGAAGTTCTGGGACGCCTGTGACGGACGCCGCGCTGCCCGAACGTAAGCGACGCCGCGTTGAAGAGCACACCCGAGTCGTAGTTGATGATGGTCAAGGCGGAGAAGAAGATGTTGAAGTAAGCACTTCGGTGATTACAGCGGATGAGGGTTACCAGCGCCTGCGTCGCACGCCCACAAGTGGTTCAAGTCCACAGCTGAGAGTGACGGGTTCGAGTCCCTGGACGGGTTCAAGTCCCCGGCTGACGGCAGTGGGTCAAGTCGACGGGTTCGAGTCCCCGGAGAGCAACAGGTTCCAGCCCCAAGGCACGACAGCAGGATCAAGCCCTTGAGCGGGTTCGAGTCCCTGCAGGCCAGTACACCGGGTTCGAGTCTCTGCCAAGCAACAACGGGTTCAAGTCCCTCCGTGGGTCCGAGTCCCTGCAGAGCAGCGACGGGTTCAAGTCCCTCAGTGGGTTCAAGTCCCTGACGCAGAGCTCGGGTTCAAGTCCTGACTTTGGAGGACGTGTGGTGCGCCTGGGATATCGACTGGTGAACTCTGTTGGACGTTGTGTGTTACTCGCGAGAGGAGCTGGAGGACCTCACGTGCAATCGGTGGTCACTGCGGCTTTGATCGTGGCTTGTGTGTTTACATTTACGGAGTTCGTCAGAAGTTGCCACCGGAGACCTCGGAAGCGGCCGCGACAAGGTCCGGGCAAGGCAGCAGGGCGCGGGTAACAGGAGGAGTGCTTTCTTGGTGGTCATACAGGGGCGAATCAACACGGTTGGCTTTCGTGTGAGTTTGCCTTCACGAGACTTCGCTTCAGCGGGCACGATCGGAGCCGCAGCAGCGAGACTTTATTTTGAGCAGTGCTGAGAGGTGGGATGACACGCCAGTCTGCGCGCACGAGCGCGCCAGCGAGTCCAGGTGTTACGACACGAAGTTCTGGGACGCCTGTGACGGACGCCGCGCTGCCCGAACGTAAGCGACGCCGCGTTGAAGAGCACACCCGAGTCGTAGTTGATGATGGTCAAGGCGGAGAAGAAGATGTTGAAGTAAGCACTTCGGTGATTACAGCGGATGAGGGTTACCAGCGCCTGCGTCGCACGCCCACAAGTGGTTCAAGTCCACAGCTGAGAGTGACGGGTTCGAGTCCCTGGACGGGTTCAAGTCCCCGGCTGACGGCAGTGGGTCAAGTCGACGGGTTCGAGTCCCCGGAGAGCAACAGGTTCCAGCCCCAAGGCACGACAGCAGGATCAAGCCCTTGAGCGGGTTCGAGTCCCTGCAGGCCAGTACACCGGGTTCGAGTCTCTGCCAAGCAACAACGGGTTCAAGTCCCTCCGTGGGTCCGAGTCCCTGCAGAGCAGCGACGGGTTCAAGTCCCTCAGTGGGTTC